CCTGTACATATATGGTGTAGGGGACTTGTTTATTATCTCCTGACTGAGCAAATAAAATAATTTGAGTTTCTCTTCAGTAACCTTTATGATTTAAAAGACCTTCGCAATATATCTTGGGACGCAGGAACCTTGCAAATTCGCAAACTGCAATGTTGACGTTGGCATTTGTTCTTGATACATACATATTTAGTTATAAGGAAAAATCATCTGATTACGTTTTAAGACTACTTTTAATCATTTTTCTGGAAGGTAGAAGTAATACCAAGTAACGAAATAACGTATTCAAATCTGAAAAATAGTACAAAAACAATGATTTTGATCTCAGAAAAATGATTATTTTTTTCAAGTTGCTTTTGGAACAGTTATTTTTGGCGAAACTTTTGTTCATGAAGAAACTGGACCTTTTCTCCTACAAGTATACAACCTCCTCACCCAACTAATTTTGTTAACAATAGAAATACCAAAATATCAATTTGAACTTGCTTTTTGTATCTCTTTCACAACATATAACAAAAAATAAAAACGGAAAAACCATAAATTTCCATCAGCTTATCTTTTCCCTTTTATTGTAGATTAAAAATTAACCATTGTATTTTTATGGAATTTTGAAGCTGTGTCACCACCATATAAAGTAAAAACTTTGTTTTCAAGAACCGATGGCATAATAAAAACTGGAAAAATAAAAATATTCTTATACTTTAAGACGTTTTTGGAGGCTTTTAGAAATTTTTCCAATTTATAATTTGGATAAGGTATGAGGTCTCAATTTTTCAATATTGTTCATCAAATCATTAATTTTTGAATTTTGTTTTTATGTATAATTTGGAAATACCTGGGAAGCATTAAGTTGATCTACTTGACTGCATTTTTATTATCTTTTATATCACCTATTACATAAATAGCTTGATAAAATGTTTTGTTGTATGTACACAGACTTTAGTTACCACTTCAAATATAGAATTTTTTCATAAATGAGTACTTAAATCATATCATTTACAGGGGTATGAGTCTAGTAGTTTTCACTTTATAAAGTTGTCTATTTTTCTAACCGCGACCTTATATGTTTATGTGATTAATAATATGCAACATCATGCAAATGTATCTTTCAGTAACTTTTGCGATTTTAAATTATGATCGAATCAGACTCAACTATGCTGCATAAGCAAAACAGAAAATACAGTAATGAAAAATGCAAAGTGTGAAGTATATACAACAATCATGTATTAGTAATAATAGATAAAACATTATCTGTTTATTCATACATAACCGCCGAGCATAATATTGTAAAATAAAAATATTGATGACAGATAGTACGTCTAGTGCTTTAAGGATCGCCTTTGAACCTAGGGAACCGACTTTCTCTAAAAACATGTGTTCAAACATCTGCAATAAAACCAGCTATTTTCTTTAGAGAAAACACAGTATCGCCAATTTTAAGAAAAATCACGTTAGAAAACGACTCGAAACACTCTTTGAGAAGCAATCTACAGTATGCCTATATAGGACGTTTCAACTTTGCTAGAACACTGCCTGTGCACACGATATCCGTCGAAATGTAAATATTTGACTTGTACGCTTAAGGCCAATCACACTGTCAGGTTCAAAATAAACCTGACAGAATCAAAGGAGAGCCTTTATTTGAATGTAAAGCACCGGTATGAAATAATCCAAACTAATAAGGAAAACATTTTCTACTCGTATTTAGCGGAAAGGTTATACTAAAGAAGGATGTTCAGGGTAGACGAAGTAACAATTTATGGGCTTACCTGTGCTGCTGCCGCAAATCCCACGAGGACTGCCCAACATAACAAGGTTTGTATCCTAAAATGCATCACTAAAAACAGTCCGTGGTGCTTTAGATTCTTAATATTTACTTTTTACTTAATATAATAATATGGCACGGCACACAACGCAACCCACTGTAGCATTGAGCAAGACTGATCAATTGTCTGCGCGGTGTTGCCAACCGCTCGTCACATCTGCCAGATGTCGCCACCATCTAGGACCGCTATAACACAACGCCAACACTTAAAGCTTTGAAGTTAGGTACAACCATTGGCGTACAAAGAACACCGGGATGGGTATCACGTATCTTGAAAAGTGACATGATGCCGATTTTTTTTGACATTATGTAGGTTTTCCTACAAGATGTCAACTTAGCACTTAGTTGTACGTGTTGCCTAAACGTCATGAGGCTTGTTATCAATCTTTGGCTCTGATGTGATGTAAAATCTGCTTCTGAGATGGCAATACTGGAGGTCTAAGCTGTAAGTTGTATGTGTTGATGATAATTACATTGGGCTCTTGTCTCAAATACACTTAATTGAGATTCAAAGCTAGAAATTAGTTGCGCATCCACTTTTTCTTATCCATTCTGGAAATTACATATACAAATTTGCTGAATTTCAAAAATGAGAGAGATAAGAAATAATTATACTCATTGTACACTGTCGAATTACAAGATATATACACGCTAACAGTAATTACACACACCGCGGGTGCGGTGATCATTTCCCGTAATTCTCCTCAGTTTTTCGTTATTTATAACTTTGAACATAACCTCTCTTCAGAAAGCACAACATAAAATATTCGGAATATTCAGTAATGATTTTCTCACACCGCAGATATCACTGATTTTATACACATGCAGACCAATACACATAATCATCCAGATGTGATCTTGCTATTCAACCAACTTTCTTCTCAGAGATAAAAACTACAGACAAGGACCATTTGGCCTCACAAAACATATGCAACCAATAATGCGTGTAGTTTAGTTTAGTGATTCCTCCTTAGATGGACGTTCACAACGATCCTAGTGAGCAAACGTGGAATGACTGCGCCCTAAAAACTACCTAGTTTGCAAGATGACATGCAATGCATATGTAATATAACCAATACGTACAATGAGGGCAATAGCAATAAAAGAGGTTAGGCTTACTCGTAAACGTTAAAACACCAGTAAATCGACAATTATCAATGTGGTCGAGAGCTTTATCTTTTAAAAAGTTGTCTAAATCAGCTTCATGTCGCTTAAAATCGCACAGACAAGTTAGCTTTTCTCGTCATATCCAGATGTGATGGTGTTTTCGATGCACATCCATTTAGGCCTGATGAAGCTAGTAAACAGAAAGGTACGTCGCTCGAGTTACAAATCCTATTCTGCTCCTGTTTCTTTAATGCGGACATGCCCACGATTGTTCTTTGCTTTTCATCTAAGTTTCCGCAACACTATTTGCCTTTATTCCTGTTTATTTTACGTTAGAAATGATTCTAATTAATATCTATATAGATGTCTATATTTATACCTTTTCTGATTCAAAAATCACTTCTACATGTGTTTCATATCTGCAAGCGACCTAATTGAACTATTATTTGCTCTTGTATACATTGTTTACATCATATACATGAATAACAAGACGTATTTGTATAAAATTACAATAGCATACGCGTATACAATGACAAATTTTACATGATGTGGCCCATCACTGGTCTTCGTCCGTTTGCCACGCAAATTTGTTTAAGCATTGTTTAACAAAGTTTTTTAGGGTTTTTAGGTCATTTTGAACAAAATATTTCGTATGGTCGACGGACGCGCGCGTAGTCCATAGCGCGTTATCAAAAAGTAAATAACAATGCTTCAAAATAAACTATACCTAAAATACTCTAGAGTTTGAGTTAAAATTTATACACTTGCAACCTCAAAAATACACAAAAATAAACAAACGTGATTAGGAAAAAAAATCGCAAAAAATCATATCCTACTTCTGGAATTTGACCCTTAGATTTTATTCTAGATCCATTTCATAGTGTTTTCATTATAATTGTTATAATATAAAGTATTCAATATTTTTCCATATTTTGTGCTTTGGAAAAACCACTGTAGCAATGGAATTATAGAGGATGCAACAAAATATCACGGAACAACAGAAAGCGATTTTGTACATCTTAACGTAACCTTCCGACAATACATTTATCTCAATTTAACATGAAATGAACTATCAAAAGCCGCACAGTTTAATCCCCTTCCCCTTTGTATGGGACGAAGCGATGTTTGTATGCAATTTGCCTGAATTTTTTTAAACGTGGCAACGCCGATCCTTCTTGACGTGACTTCAAACAGCGCATGCGTCAACTTTTTGTATGCGATATAGCGCTAAAATTTAAAAAATGCAGGGAAAATCAGTTTTCCTATAGCATTAAAAAATAACGTGATATTTGTAATACTGTCTATACCTAGTAGCATTTTCATAAAATATTCAGCATAGATAAAACAGCTCTAAAATCGCGTTTAAAATTAACGTTCTAGTTTCGTCAGCAAATACGACAGGCACAAAAATAAATATAAATCAAAATATACAGATAAAATACAATGCACAAATAGATACTATGGTGGAAACATGGAATATGCTTTATAAATTAAAAGTAGTAGATTATAAATTATGTGTAAATTGTATATCAAAACATAAGACAACGCTCAATCACTACCGTGTTATACGAGTTGCCTACTTTTTTTTAAATGCCCACCTAAATATATCACAATTGACATTTTTTTATAATTTAAGGAAAATAAATCATAATACAGATACAGAACAAAGCTTACACGGACAAGGCATCGTTCAAAATTTGTATAGGTTTGTTATACGAGAGCGAGACGTATTGAGTAATGTTTTGCCTTTTGCATGTTTCCTAAGATCGTAAATAATGTAAACGTACTTTTCATGCAACTCTAATTAAATGCTAGTGTATCGCAAGAAATGATTAGAAGTAAGAACTTATTATTATTCGAGACTAGTAGATTGTGTATTTTTATCTTGTTAAAATCTCCCACAAATAAACAACAAAACACGGCAACCAACAATACAAATCTGGTACATTTATATAATTTGAGTTTAAACGGCTCAAAAATAAGGGCAATCATATATTCTCCTACATAAGAAATTAAACGCATATAAATCGTTCTAAATAGTAACTTCAATATGAAAATTTGTTATACCAACCTTACAATTCACTAATTTTTTCACATCAATGTTATGTCAAGAAACGTGACGCAGGCGTGTGCCGCCATTCTGGAAGCTCGTGTAGCGGGAAATTTAAACGTCACCTACATTACAAGGCTTTCTTTGAAGAAAAAATGTTTCAAATGATTATTGTACAACGTTTTTATCATAGTTGGATAATGTTCATGGACATTTGTTTTTTCATGTAAAACAAAATGTAAATAATAATTATTGCAGATAAGCAAAATCTTAGGAAAAGACTCTATTGCACAAACACCGACTTTTGAAAAGGCATGAAGAGACCACACAGAAAATTGTTGTCTCATATCACTTCATATGTCTATTTTTAGGTCATATTTCGACCACAAAAAATATAGGCTTAATTAGTAAATAGTTGTAATTGAAGCCTTTCATAATCAGGAATAATAGATGTATTACTGGTTGCATAAGCTACAGAGGATGTACCTTGTAATTAAAAAAACGGGGAAACTAATACAAGTCAAACATTAGATGTAGTCAGGGCTTGAATTATACTTTCGATGATAAATGTTTTTAATTACAAATTGTCTTACATATCCAGACCTTAACACCTGGAAGGTGGAATACCTACTTACAGTGTTATGTAGTTTTAGAGGGAATAATACAATTTTAAGAAACAGAGTAACTAAGTATTAATACTTTATTAAGAAATCAATATTTGTAGCATTTAAGCATATCAATACAAGCAACAAAAAACATTACATTTCACATAACTAAGTATGAGATAAAACCATTCACTTGTCCAACTGGCTTACTCTTTCCTTGTGGCGAGCTATAGCCTCCTGGTGCTTCTTAATCTGTTCTTCATGAAAATTGATTTGTTCGTGGAGTTCAGTTTTCAGTTTTGCTATTTGCTCTTTTTGCTGTAACAAAAATGTCTGCCTAGCTCAAAATACAGAAATCTTTTTAAGCACTGAAAATGGGTTCATGAGATCTTAAAACATGTAACTCAAAAGATGTCAACTCTTCGGAAGAGTTATTAAATTTGTTCTTTCTCTAAAGTGAGAAATAAAAATTATTCATAAAAACATTTTTTTGCAAGTTGAGAATAAACCTAAAGAGGTTTCCTATATATTAAATTAATTGTTATCAAAAAACAAAACAGACATTATTTATCTATATTTTTTGAAATATTCAAAAACTTGACTGTTTTTCAGATTTTTAGGTTCCTCTTTATTTCCGGGATAATTTCAGATAAATTAGGGGGAAGTTACAATTCAGAAAGTGTTGAACTTTGATTGAAAACATCAGAGTCAATAGATTTTGGGGTCATCTCAGCCCCTACATAGGGATATTTTTAGAATATTTTCAAAAATCAAAAAGTAATGCCTCTTTTGATTTTTCATAAAAATTAATTTGGAGTCTAAGAAACATTTTTAGGCTTATTCTAAAGGCTGGAATCTGATGCACAAAAATTGGTAAAAAAACTGCTTTTTTGGGGTTACTCTTTGATTTGTAAACATTGATTCTCTGATCAACCAAATTAAAATGAATCAGGAAACATTATACTCAACTGGTTAATTCCCCATTTGCAGTTATTATTTCAAAAACATAGATAAGCACACATGTAAAACATAAACAAAATAAGAGATAAACTTCTATTTAAAAACAGAAATAAATGCTACAAGAATAGTTAAATTATGAATCACATTTATTTACTTTTGAATTCTGTGAGGATACAGTTATCAGTAACAGTGCAATAGTTTGATAAATATTGCATAAAAAAATGTATGTTCCATCATGACCCATGGTAAGGTTATCAAGGTAACACAAGGCAGATTATAGGGGGTTATTTGTTTTTTCCAATTTGTGTAATTATGTTTGTTGAAATGTCTAATTTGTCTTGATTTTGCCTGAAAGAAATGTGTACTAACCAATTTGTAGAAGTATTCTTCTTCCCTGGCAGCTTCCTGTTTCCCAAATGCTCCTCCAGCCTCTCTGATAGATCCTCCACCACCTCCTCCTTTCCCAGCACCGCTGCCAAGGTCTCCCAGTTGTGACATTGAGCGGAGATGTCTGAAAAACAAAATTTTCAAAAAATTACGTAAGTAACCAAACCCCTACGTCAGCTATGACAATCATCTTGAGAATTTCCAACAGCCAGACGGGCACTTTATAGGAATTATTTGTCAATTCTCACCTAACAACGCTTGTCCTTAGTAATTTTGCGCTAGAATTCATTTTGCTGCGTAGTATTTTCGAAATTTTTGATAGACCTGAATACCCAATACCGGCACTTGCAGAAATTCTTGGATATGAAAAAAATTCGTGAATCCTAAAGCGCCCTTGTCAACGTGCGGTGCACTTTGCAACTACACGTCGACATTGCCAGATCTGTTCCGAGTTGATCTTGTAAAAAAAAATTCGAGTCAATGAACTTTGAAGCTGAGTTGTTCCAGGTGTGTCATGATTTAATCTAGACGTTCCACTCAACATATAATTTTGAGCTCTATAATAGAGAGGTAGTTCATATGTAAAAAACCAGAACCTCACGGCGTAAAACGTGCCAATACGTTTTCCATATATAATTGAGCATGAATTTATAAAATGTAACCCCCCTGGGTGCATCGTGATCGAATACGGCCCCACTTGCCTCGGCAAAAACCTAAGTTATACTAACACTTGTGCCAAAATTTGATCGAAATATGTCCTTTAATACTCATATTATTTTTCTCATAGGCATAGAAGTGTCAGTTTATCGAACAAATTCGACAACGTGACAACATAGGTACACCTGTCAACTTTACCTGCTGCACAACACAAATAATACTATTCATCTTCAGTGCCGGGTATTTTTCATTTCTCATTTTCTCTTATTTTTTGGTACTATGATATTTTGCAATACATATTGAAATGTGTTTATGACAAAACTTAATACTATAACAGCAAATAGTTTCGCCTTAATCTGAAATTGCTGTATCTAGTTTTGAAATTGATCAAAATCAAATCAATAATGTTCATAACCTGTTTGTACGTAAGGCTGCACGCCACTGTCGTGTCAATTTGTGTTCTGAAACTTGATGTACTGTGCTTGTGCTCACAAAACATAAAACATCGCTCATTCGCTGTGTTGTTCCCTATGTTTTGGAGTACCCAGATTTTTTTAGTGTATATTGATCAAAATCGAAGTATTAACTAGGACCATGGTAATACAAAAATATTGTGTGATGCTTTCCAAATGCGAAGAGACTTGAGAGAAATGCGTGATATTGTGTAATATGTGGTTAATTGTTTTCCTCTGAAGTAAATATGGCTGCTGCCATCCCTATTTGGATCCTGTAAAGTCCAAATGAACTTTTATGCTTCCAAAACACAGATTTTTTGAGAGAGCAATATGATCATTCTACGCCCAGGTAATTTTAATGTGTTTTGTTTTCGAGTCCATTGAAGGTGTGTCGGTTACTTAATATTGCAACCACTACCACACTGTTACTTATTTTTGGTGTTTACTCTCTCGAATTACAGAGTGAATGTAAAATTAGGGAAAATACATTAGTGCCATTGCGATTTATATCCGATGTTTAGTGATCTTACACCAACACCTGACATTTACTTTTTCGCAGGTGCTAAATTGCTCATCACCTCATATCACCTTATAAGATAAGCTATGTTTATTAATTTTAGTTTATATACCACTTTTGATTAAGATTACACAGTTTCCCTATCTGTATTATTATATTGCAATTTGGTTTGAATATACTGACTGTGAAACTTTTTTCATCAAACACGAATATGGGCTTATTTGTGTGAAACTTTTCAGTAGTATTAAAAATTCACATCATAAAGTCAATTAGTGAACATTTATATTTATGCACAATATTTTGTATAGAAAATGTGACACAAGTTTTTAACATTTTCATTTGATTACAGCATCCTAACTTAAGCTTATTGTTAAGATACAAATTTGCACAAGCAAACAGCATAATGCACTTGCTAAAATGGTAATGGGTCTATACAAGATGTTGAGGTTCTCTGTATGAAAGTAGGTCAATTAAATGAAACTTTGAGAATTATAGACATTTATCTGTAGTACAGTGGAATTGGTTATAAATATATTTGGTTAAATGTAATAAACAGTCTAACTGACTACCAATAATACAATTCTAAACAATTTACCTGTAGAATGAAAAAACATAGATTTCATAATTTTAATCCTATATTATGCATTTGATTGTAGTTATTTAACATTCGATATTGCCACTTGGGTATCGTGTAAAAGATAATCATAAGGCTCATTTTTGATCGAGTCATGCAGACAAACTTTTAAAGAGCATGGAATTTATGTAACATTTGTGAGAAGCAACCTTAATGGTTTTACTCTCTATAAAAGTAACCATAACAACACACAGTATGCTTTCATTACCCCATATTTTTTTAATGAATCCCTCAAGGATAAAATGTTACATAGAAGAGCCCCCTAAAATGCGGTACTGTGTATGATATTTCATTTTTGGTCACTACTTGTGAATCATCCTGTATAGTGGTACATTGTACTTTTTTTCCCAAGAAGTTGATGCATCTTGAAGAACTTTATATGCATTATGGTGTATTCAGTTTTTTTTTAAAACACTTGAGAGTCTTGTACCAGCTAGGTATATGATGCCCACTACAGGATTCATCCGCACTTTTTCATTTATAATGTTAGTAGAGATTTGACGTCGTGTTTTTGTTGGATAGGCTGTGTCTGCACGTCAGGCTGTAGTCTGGGCAAACTATGAACTTATTTGGCTGTCTACTTCCATGTGCCCTGCAGCACAGCTGGTGGAGTGTCGGCAGTGAGCAGTGCATGAGCGAAGGGTTCACCAGAAGGATGGGGGTGAATGCATCTACCGCACCTGGAGATGCTGCTAGCATGGGCAATGCCGATTGTACCAACACCTATAGGGATACCATTGGAGTTGTCAGGTATGCTTTGCTCAATCTCTCTGCTATGTTGTGATTCTTGGTCAAACGTTTAATGTAGCGATCCAACATTAGTGAACATTCAAGAAGATAAAAGGCGTGCGAAGTCACTCTGCTTGATGGAATTTTTTATCCAGGGAAAGGAAAAAGAAGGTGACAGGCTTCGCGACGTTGAAGAAGAAATTCATCCGGCGGCGACGGTCTTCCAAAGCATGCGACCATGGAAGGATGCTTCGTGAGCTGGTGGCAGATTGGAGTCCATTGGAAGTGGCTGCTCTCCTAGAAGAATATGAAGCTTTGGCGGCGCTGAAAGATTTATGTGTTCAAGCTGAATTGGCCAGACCCCCTGCTGCCACATTCAAACAAGATCTCTCCGCTTTGTACGACTTCAAGTACTGTACTGACGCTGATCTAGTATACAGGGGTGCTTGTTTTCCTATACATCGGGCTCTGTTATCTGCGCGGTGTCCATACTTTCGAGATCTACTAGCAGGTAAGGTTTTGCGTTACACTTTTTTTCCTTAATAACGGCATCTCGGTTTATATATCTTCTTGAATAAAATTAAAAGTTTAAAACCTACAACTCTGCATGAATCTAGCAACCAGGTGCCGGTCTTGATAATTTTTTCTTTTTCTGCCAGGCTGTCCAGGGTATGGTGCCAGAATATGTCTAGAGCTCCGTACTGCTACAGTAGATGTCCAGTTGTTCTCAGCACTGTTAAGATATTTGTACACCGGTGATATATGTCCTCATAATACGAATATTGATATGAACCTTCTTCGAAGACTGAGGGAAGAATTTGGTACTCCCAATGCTCTTGAAGCTGATCTGCGATATCTATTAGAAACAGGAGACTATGCTGACGCTGCGTTGGTCTTCACGTCAGATGGTACTGACTGCCAAAGGCCAGACTCGGGTAGTTCCGAATACGGATTCAGGCCTAAACTGGAACTGCCCTGTCACAAAGCTATACTATCCGCTAGATCTCCCTTCTTTAGGAATCTGTTGCAAAGGCGATCCAAGAGCGGCGAGGAACACACAGAGAGAGCACTGCACATTCCTACTAGGATCGTTTTAGATGAGACTGTTATCCCAAAAAGGTGAGTGATAATTTTACGATTTTTCTTAACAAGTTAAGCGTCCCACTTTTTTAAATATTCTTCAAAAATTGATGAAGTCATCCAAGCTTTATTATTTACAACATAATCGACGGAAATTGTTTTAACATTTTTGAAATGAAATAGGTCATACATTCTTTGCAGCACTGCCATTGAATATAAAAAAAAATAGAACATGAATTTCTATTGATTCACTTACCTATTATCAATTGTTTCAGTACCAGAAGCATTAGCACAAATCATAACAGTTATTCTCTCTTTTGATAGTTTCCCTCCATTGCAAGTTTCACCTTTTAATTTATGAGTTTTATCTGGTAGCATTCTATAAACTATCTCGGTTTCATCTGTATTGAATATGTTATCATCTGAATACTAGACTGCATATTTTTATTGTAGATACGCCCGAGTCCTTCTGCATGCGATATATTTGGACCAGGTAGATCTCTCTCTGATATCACGCGTTGGTTGTGGTGGCGGCCTTGGTGAAGCTCAGGCCCTTGCGCACACAGGCAGGGCCAGGCCATCTCCTCTTGAAGAAGCCATGGAACTGTACCAGATCGGAAGGTTTCTTGAACTAGATATTTTGGCTCAAGGTTGTGAAGATTTGATCCTAGAATGGTTGAGTTTGGATACACTGCCTGCGGTGTTACAGTGGGCTAGACAGCCCCATGGATCAGCTTGGGTCCATAGACAGGTGAGCAGTATTTTTTATTACAATAGGAAAACGTACGCACCTGAAAAAGTGTAGGCGATATTTGGCCTGGGAGTTTGAAACGGAATTCTGGAGGAGATTTTTTTCAGGCACTTCATTTTCTGCGCGAGGAATTCCAACCAGTAGCACAGTCGCCGGTTTTACATCAACTGGACAAAGCACATTTGATCGAGGTACTCAAAAGTCCATTCCTACAAGCTAGTGAACTGGAGGTACTTCATGCGGTGCTTAAGTGGGGAGAAAACGAGCTCGTTAGAAGAATGGAGGATAGAGGTGTGTAACATTTGATCCTCAACATTTTTTTAAAACCAGACACAACAAACACTCTTGGCTTTGAATTTAATTATCAACGTCGCATGTCCCTTTTTTCAACAGGTTGTCTGGAGGAGAATTCTTAATACTTTTCCTCTGCTTATTTCAAGGTGTGTATAGAGATAATAATAGCTTTATTATCCAGTGGTTTCCAATTTTTACAGGATAATATAACAATTAAATTATACGCCCTTGTGTGCTATTATGCGTTGATGAAAAAATATAGTGTAATAACTGAAGGAATAATTATATTATAATAATAATACCCTAAACAGAGATGTAGATAATTAAACCAAAAAACGAGAATTCAAAATTAGTTCCATAACCTCTTTGCTGATCTGATAATACAGTGGGAAAGTTCACTTTTACAAAAAACGTACACACTCTTCTAATCAGGAGTGATCTTTATTTCTCGTCGAATGTTGTCTTTAAGCTATTCCAGTGTTCGTAGATTATTGGAATACACTTTTGACTTTCGATAACCCCACAAAAAATAATCGCATGGCGTCAGGTCGGGTGACCTAGCAGGCCAGTGAATGTCTCCGAACTTCGAAATAACTTTTTGAGGAAAAAGTGCTTTCACCGTGTCCATCGATTCTCGATTCTCTGGAAGTAGTGACAGTGACCCCATCCTGTTGAAACCACGTGTTTCTGTTAAATTCTGTCCTGTTCTTACAATAGGAGCAAAAAAAGTGCCATTCATGTCCTTGTATCGTTCGGAATTGATTGTCAATGCAAGAAACACGGCCCAATAACACCGCTAGAGGATATGGCGTACCAGTCACCTTTGGACTATGTAGCTGCTGTTGATGTTTCTCTTTCGGGTTCGTTGGTGTCCAATATCTGCAATTCAACATCCGTTCGGCACAAGATTTCCGTAATACGTAATACTTTTCTTTAAAGCATGGACTGATTGGATTTTGTAAGGATGAAAACCCATTTTTTCCTTCATTATGCCATGCATTGTTGACCTAGGGATGCGGAATGCTTCCGTACAGAACGCCGAGGATTTGCAATGACAGAATCTCTTACTCGTCGCACATTTTTTTCGTTTGATGCAGTTATGGGTTGACTAAGAGTAGAGCCTGTTTCGCGGAACCTCTTAATCGACTTTTTCAATAGGTTCTTACTCTTAAAGTAAGCCTCGATAGCAAAAGCACGTTGCGCTCCGGTCCAACGTTCCATTGTGACTATTTAACCCGCACGCCGAACGCGTCGATCAACACCTCTCGCCACTTCCTCGCGTATACGGTTGCCGCGTAATTCAAATTTGAAATGTGAACGTTCCCACTACATGTTCGTGTTAAATTATTCCAGAACCGAATATTGTGAGTCATACGGCGCACTCCGTGGCGCGGAAGGGCGTGAAAAAACGCGACCTGAGCGATGTGGAATTGAGGGAGATCCTCTCCGATTTGCTGCCTCTAGTCAGGATGGACCACGTGCTGCCGCCTAACAGTGATATTTTGAACCACGCGATCAGACGGGGATTGGTCAGCACCCCACCAAGCCACATGATTGGCGGAGATCGGGAGAATCTGAGAGTGAACGCTTGGATTAGGGGCGGAAAGAACAACGGATTGTTCGTGCAACCAAGGCTGTTCATGCCATATTACGATGAGGTCAAGGTCCTCGTTGAAGATCAGCTGGTGCAGGAGGTGGAAATCATGAGGATCAGAAGGGCTCGATATATGCAGGACATTCCAGATACCTTGTATATGGTAAGTAACGCATTTTGTGCTTCAATTTTACATTGTTTTTTTTTTCGACTTACGGTATCAATACATCGTGCGTAAAGTTTTACATGACTTGATGTTTTTAAGAAACAATGCAACTGTGTCACTGACAAACAAACAAATGCTTTTTAGTTTTGAATTGATAGTTTATCAATAATGATGATGGAAAGAGCTCCAAAAAAACTGTTATGGACTTATGTTGTTTTAGCAAGAAATAGGGTTAGTGATATATTTATTCAGGATCCGTCAGAAAGAACGCATGTTTTTCGAATGGGTACTACATCGAGTGGGCTGGTCCCGTGTCGGTGGGGAAGGGCGTGTTGGATAGTGGGAGAAGTGCCGTTTCAGTTGGCAAGATGGTTTGGATCGTTGAGCATCGTGTGTTCACTCTACGTCGATACTTTCAACCACGTCGTGGGACAGTATCAGACCGTAACACCATTTTGAGATGGGTGGAAGCATTTTCTTCATCACAGGTAATGTGATGAAGAAAAAACCGCCAGAGCGAAACCGTACTGTTAGAACCCCCGAAAACGTAGACAGAGTGAGTGTTGAGACGCTGCGAAGCCCGAATTGTGCCGTCCGTTTGCGTGCCAGTTCCCTAGGGATCATAGTTTTTAGAACGTAAATTTTGTTTTATCCAAAAAAAGGCATGTATTTCTGAGTATTTTGATACAATAACATATTTTTCCCATACTTATTTTGACTGTACTACTCATTTAAAAAACATGCGTTCTTTCTGATATTTTCGGAACTGCAGTTACATATCGATTCACCCTCGTACATTGTGCTATTTGAAGGGAAAGGAATGTAGCCACTTCTGTAGTACGCATTTACCTTAAATGAAGCGTTATCGGTAAAAAAAGTATGTTGTTAAAAATGGTCTCAATCGGTTTGTGAAATGACCGATTCAATTGAACGTTTTGATTGCACAGGTGGAGGAGAAGCCAAGACCTCACGGCCCAGCCGGAGTGGATGTGTTAGCTTCAGCCTTGCCAGTGCCAGATCCGGCTGTGATGAACGCAATGTTGAAACGGGAACAGAAACTTCGCCAATCACCTAGTTGCCAACGTGCTTTGAACATGCCATTATCTTCGCGTCACGAAATCAACCGACAAATTCGATTGAGGGTCGTTCGCGAATTCAATTTGCCAGGTATGTAATGCATCTAAGAACTACTCTGCCGTACTTAGCGAAAAGGCAGTAAGGTCAACATTGAAGTCTGAGAAGATTGAGTTCAAAATTTAACTAAATGAATAGTATTACAGCAGACGCTCGATAATGTAAACTAATTTAATCCAAGTGTGGTTCACATTAGCGAACGTGATTTATATAATATTTGATTTATTAAAAAAAACGTTTAATACATACCATTTTTTAACAAAATAAACAAATATTCTAACAGCGATAAGTATTTTTTTAATTAGAAGAAAAATAAATAACAATTTTTGTCTGCGTAAATTTGCGCTTAGCACTGTCTTCCAATGCCTGCGCCCGTAATTTACGAAGAACTAATATATCCGTGTATGAAACTTCTTTTCTTTCAGCCCAATCTAAAGCTTGGTTAAAAACTTGTAAAGCTTGCGCGTCAGTCACTGCATTTCTGACTTCAATGGGATCGTTCTCATCATCCTCACTGTCCATATCCTCCTTATCAGCATCATTCGTCTGCTTATCTTCGTTCAATAAATTAATATCAGCAGGAGTACAAACAATGTTGGGATTCACTGTTTTCAATAAATGAACAACATCTAATGACACACTAATAACATTATCATTATTGGATCGCAAACGTTCTCTAATTACGCTTAAGGGGACATCGTCTTCTTCATCATCTTCATTATTGGTACAAAAGAGATTGTTCAAACATTTTTGAATAGTTTGCTGGTTAAGTTCATTCCAGGCCATATGTAAATCTAAAACAGCTTCTCGTAATGTTACTTTTTTTAAAGCCTCAGATAAGTTTTCAGGATTCTTTGATAAGACAGACGAAAGTAGAAACTTCCTATAGTATAGTTTGGTGGGTCTTATTATATTCTGGTCCATCGGTTGAATTAATGGTGTTACGTTGGGCGGCATGTACATGACGGAAATTGACCCATCCCTGCTCCTCAGTTGTTGCTCGGGAGGATGACTTGGTGCATTATCCAATAGTAACAACGCTTTTATTGGAAGCTTCTGTTGTTTTAGGAAACCTTTTACCTTCAAATTATGAATAGAGCATTTGTGATAATTGATTGTCATACCTGAGGGACAAAGCACCTGTGGAACCATTTCAGGAATATACTGCTAGTCATCCAAGCGGTTTTTGAACAGTTATAATCAACATTTTTAAATGAGCGCGGATTTTTTGCAGCATAGGTTTTCTCTGGTAACATTTTCCAATAAAGGCCACTTTCATCTGTGTTGTAAATTTGTTCCATTCTTAAATCTAGCTCGGCAATTGTTTTCATCAATCTTTCTTTGAATGGTTGCACTAATTGTGGTTGTGCTGATAATTTTTCACCAGATATAGACAGCAGTCGAATTCCATATCTTGTTTTGAATCGTTGTAGCCTGCCATCGCTAGCTACGAAATTTTCAGTTTCTTTCAGTTTTTCATTTAACAGTCTCGCTCTCTGTTTAAGTACTTCGCCACTAACTGGGACATGATTTTCCCGTTGTTTTAAAAACCACTTATACCGGGAATTTTCCATTTTAGGTGCCTTCGCATTTTTTTAAGTTTTTCTTTTTCCCGGACCTTCAAATGTATTGCACGTTCTTTGTAAAATTTGTGTTTTCATACGCTTAATTTTACAGATTGTTGCTTTCGATACTCCATATTTTTTTGCTAACTGTGTCACTCCCGCACCTAGTGCAACTTCGTCTATGATTTTCACTTTCTCACTCAACTTAAAACACTTTCTTTTATAGGATGTGGATGCCATAGTCGTAAAATATATTAACCCGTGCAATGTATTCACTTGAGTTCAAATACATACGTACGTATAAACGTATCCTAAACGATCATACGACTGACCGAGTTTGTCGTATTTTATCGCAGAGGTGAATCCCCTACACTCTACATCATAAATCGGGGACTCCCCGACGCCCGACATAAATCATCGAGGCTTCAGCATTTTACCGTCGCGCTGGTTCCGTGCGCCGAGAGTTGTTTACGTTATCGCGCGTACACATTGTTTACGTTATCGCGCGTTCCGTTTGATCCTATAGAACGAAATTTGTGTTTACATTAGCGCAAGTTTTCATTATCCCGTGTTTACGTTATCGAGCGTCGTCTGTATTACAACACAACAAAAGTAATTCTACGCACCTAGCATAAAAAAGTTATGTTGATACATCATTATATTTATAGGGGAGCTACTTGACTGTTGACACTGGCACACCTATTATTCTTAGATTAACTTAGGAACTGCTTCCCTTGGAATGCCTTCAACATTTTTAAAATATTGGCAACTGTACAGGGTGTCCCAATTTTGACCTATATATCAAAGTTGTGATTTTTCAAATGGAATACTTCAAATTTTATTGCATATTTGGATAAACCAATTCAAAAGAAGAAGATTGATATAACATACTATGAGGTTTTGGTAATAAGCTACTGAGATGTAAGGTGTTTTGTCTAGAAAAACCCCCCACTTCGGCAGCCCCTCAATCCGATATTTTGAAATTTGGAGTGCCGAATTTTGTATAAAAAAAAAACTAGCACACCTCAGCTTTTATCTTATTTGTTACTTTTTCGAATTTCCAATTTTGCTCATACAGGGTGGTCAAAAACGCGAATTGTACTTTTTCTCAAAAATTTGTGCAAGTTTGGATTCAATTTTTCATGTTTTTTTTGTATAAGGTTTGATTCAGATAAAATCACTAGATTTTGAGTTATTAAGCTTTTAATAGAACAACACACCAAAATTAAGGAAAAAAATCACATCATCCATGGAAACAAAAGACAACCAGTGGGCCACCCTGTACACATGCCTTCTAGATTGCAAATATTTTTCCCAAATTGTCCATCGTGTCTAGTTTGTACGTTTGTGTTTGACAGATCCTGTGGCAGATATGCTCGAAAACTGCTACTGCATGCCCGATCATGGCGGTAACGAATCGATGCAGATATCGCCGAATAAGCCCGTGATGGGGCCTTCGCACGGCCCCCATTCTTGTTACGGAAACGGAAAAACGATGAGTTTCCCGCGAGCCGGATTCGTGCAGAGACAAGAACTGCCCGCAGTCGTACCGGACGGAGATTTCAGATTTTCCACGGAACAGGAAAGCAGCTCTTGCAGTGATGGCCACCTTTCTGATATCATGCCAGACGTCGCCATGGCTACTGCCGCTATCAATCAGATACAGTTGCAAGTAAGATACTATTCATATTCGATTTTTTTCAGCCGATAAATCTTTAATGCGATGTCGATGTGCCATCGTATTGTCACGATTGTGACTAGGGGGGCTGAGCAGACTTTGCTTATGCGCAGCAAAAGGAATATCGTCTAATCATATTAGCAAATTTTCCCGGAATAATTGTAAAGTCTGGTTTTATTAGTGCAAGTTGTTTGGTATTTAAAACATGGACGGATAAAAAGCTTTTGTAGGAAAACTTTTTTATTTGACAACAAATAATGAGAAAACGTGTTTTTTGGAATTCAATAGAAAGTGTTGACAAGAACGAACAAACATTTAATATATTTTTAGCTATTTATGAGACCTACAAAAGGGCCAACATCAATCACAAACCATTCCGAAAGATAATTGTTATTTTTATGCGAAAAACGAAGGTTTGAAATTTGAAAAGTACAGGATTTTTTTATGCTTTTCTTTTAACTATTATGACTTGGCCTATTCCCCTTTTCTGGCATATGCTGTATATTGCTGATTTGAAATGTTAAATTAGCATCAGCAAACTATTTCATTCCTTTGAATATTGCATTTATTCCCCCTTCAATCTAAAGGCGTGTACTCACCAAAAAATATTTCGCAAACGATTATATCAAATGTTTGTACATGCTTACAGATGCCTACAAATATGTTGTCCTCACCGAACAAACATTCAAGGGACTATCTACAAGAAAGTTATAATTATTTTTCTACTAATAAACTGAAGATCAACATCGATAAAACAAAATATCTAATTATTGAACAAAAAAATATAGTAATTCAAAACTTTGGTATACGAATAAATAATGTTATAGTAGGAAAAGCATCAAGCCCGAGTTTAATTATTATCGTTGAAAATTTGAATTGGTCTTGTCACATTAATTTTTTTTTGATAAAACAACGTCGATGATAGCTGCTTTGTAGAGAAGCAGATACTACCTAACTACAAAAAGAAAAATGAACATGCCTAATGCATTTTTTTTGGCACACTTTAATTATATGTTACCTGTTTCGGGAATGATTCCCACGAGAACCAATATGGGATCAAATAACCCTGTCATTGTCACACAACCTACCAAATAACGTACAAAAATGTGCATGTATTTAGAAATTATATAAAGACATTCAAAAGTCATTTGAATTGTTGAATTTATCGTAGCTAAAATTCGCACTTCAAATATTGTTGTTGTCGAGGCTAGTGTTTAAACATAGATTAGAAAAGTCTGTCTTCTATAAAATTTGTAAAAATTGACTATTGAATAAAGATTTGTTTTAAAAAAACAGATCGACTTACTATTGCAAACAATACAAAATTAACAAAAAGGAGCACTTAAATAAACGTTAGGATGCGTTGAAGTATCGGTGTAAACAGTGAGTTAGGTCAATCACAAATATAGCATACTTAAACGTTAGCTTTATTTGATATTCACTGATTTAAGCATCAAACAAGGTTAACGTTTACGTAAGCCTCTACTATCTACAAGAAAGCTGTTCCATTTATTTTTTGCACCCCCAATAAAGTGTAAACAAATGAATTCAGAACTTACCAAACCCTAAGCAAGCCTTGTCGTGTCTCCAAATGTATCCAATAGGTAACATAACACCACAGAATCACTGTAAATCGGCACACTACACGATCAAACAATCTAACATCACATTCGAAACCGCAGATGTTTCTTTGTTTGTACACGACGCGCGCGACGTGTTGCCTCGGCGAGATCTAAACGTCGACTGAACATCAGCAGTGCGTGGTACGCCGGCTGACCGCGCTGGAACGGTCTCGATTACGTCAGTCACATGTCCGTTTCTCTCTGCCAATCGTATCTTAGGCGGAAAGTGGGGTGTAGGGTGGGCGGAGCTACGCCACCGCTGGCGTTCAACGGCGATCCACTGAATTATAGCATCGATATCTAATAGGATACGCTCCGTAATGTAAGAAGTACGACCTGCGCTTCATACTTTTTCCTCCTTCCACGCGAGCCGAATCGCGCATTTATCTCATTAGATATCGATGCTATGATTCAGTGGATTGCCGTTGAACGCCAGCGGTGGCGTAGCTCCGCCCACCCTACACCCCACTTTCCGCCTAAGATGCGATTGGCAGAGAGAAATGGACATGTGACTGACATAATCGAGAGCGTTCCGATGCGGTCAGCCCGCGTGCCACGCACTGCTGCTGTTCAGTCGATCTTTGGATCTCGCCGAGGCAGCACGTCGCGCGCGTCGTGTACAAACAAAGAAGCATCTGCGGTTTCGAATGTGATGTTTGATCGTGTAGTGTGCCGATTTACAGTGATTCTGTGGTGTTATGTTACCTATTGGATACATTTGAAGACACGACAAGGCTTGCTTAGGGTTTGGTAAGTTCTGAATTCATTTGTTTACACTTTAATGAGGGTATAAAAAATAATTGGAACAACTTTCTTGTAGATAGTAGAGGCTTACGTAAACGTTAATCTTGTTTGATGCTTAAATCAAAATAAAGCTAACGTGTACGTATGCTATATTTGTGATTGACCTAACTCACTGGTTACAACGATACTTCAAATCATCCTAACGTTTATTTAAGTGCTCCCTTGTGTCAATTGTGCAATAGTAAGTCGTTTGATTTCTTTTTTTTTTTTTGGTAACAAATCTTTATTCAATAAGTCAATTTTTACAAATTTTACAGGAGACAGAGTTTTCTAATCTGTGTTTAAAAACACTAGCCTCGAGAACAACAATAGCTAAAGTGCGAATTTTAGCTACGATAATTCAACAAATTCACAATTTAAGTGTCTTTACATATATTTTTTACGTTATTTTGTAGGTTATTATAATTTTTACTGCATCAGTGACAGGGTTATTTATTCCTATATTGGTTCTAGTAGGAATCTGGTACAAATTATTATGTGACCTTGTTTCATGGTCATATGCACATCATGTGTGAACAGAATGTTTGATTACACTTTTGTTGGTTATTTTATCATTTTACATTATTCTAATTCCAACAGCTTATCTAATTTACAGACATTCAATTCTGTATACATATTATCCGTGGTGGCAAGTCGGTCATACTTGAACAAAATTTTTAATATTCTATTTTACGAAACCTGTGTTTAACCACACATTCCCGAAACAGGTAACATATTTAAGGTGTGCCAATAAAAATTCATTATAAATGTTCATTTTACTTTTTGTAGTTAGGTAGTATCTGCTTCTCTACAAAGCAGCTAACATCGTCGTTATCAAAAAAAAAGTATTAATGTGACTAGACCAATTCAAACTCTCATCGATAATTAAACCCAGGTATTTGATGCTTGATACTTTTCCTACTATAACATTATTTATTCTTATACAAAAGTTTTGAATCATCATATTTTTTTGTTCAAAAATTAGATATTTTGTTTGATCGATGTTGACCTTTAGTTTAGTAGACATCTTTTTTGTAGATAGTAGGGGGATATAACATTGCTTCATACGTAATTTTTATTTATAGCTTAAACCAATTAATATCAAATAAAATATATTTGCTATTGCCAATGAAACCAGACTTTACATTTCGGGGCAATTTGCAAATATGATAAGACGAATAGTGTATTTGTGTTTCAGGACCAGCAGGAGATGGAATTGGACTTAGGAGATGGGAACACTCGTATACATAGTGCAATGGGAGGTAGCCAGTTGCTTGGAGGCTCCCTGCATCATCCCATGTCTTATCGGAGGTACCAACCTTCAACGTTTCCACACCTTAGGTCCGAATCCCAGTCGTATAATCCGCTAATGCCCAGGTTTCTATAGTTTTAACATCTTCGCTTACATGTTATGTACATAAAGCGTTCTCACCCTGGTGATGTTTTTACGAATGCCTCATTTACTGTATACCCACTTTGGAAAGTGATTCAAGATCATTGACGAATCTTAGTTCCATAAAACTCTATTTAAACCTCAGTCACTCGATCTACGCTTCCCGCTGCCTGCCCAGGCATTTGTAGCTTGCTGGCCGATATCAATCAAGTTAGCCTTTAACCGTGAAGGCCTCACGTCCCTTTTTTCGCTTTTTATTTGGGCCAATGTCACTTTTAGTCTTAACACGCCTTGTGGTATCAAGTCATACCGTCTGTCTCTCAAACCCCTAATAGTAGATGCGTCAATGTTTGCTCCATACTTTTACGAGTCCATTAGACCTGGTTGTGAGACGAAGGTAATTGCAGATTTGAGTGATTCAGCTCTGGCAGCTTCTGTACCTAAAAATAAGGTAAGGACCTAGAAACTCGGCCATGGCAATCGGGAGTACATTATTAGCTCTTGGTACTTTACCATCCTCGGAGTAGTAGCGCCCGAAGTATAGGTACATAGCAATACTTGGAGCTGATGTGCCGGTCCAGGTGTCAATGAACGGATCGGCGTTGCAAAATCTGAGGAACAGGCGTCGGTACACTGGTGACGATTCGAGGTATTTATTGTAAAAGGCAGAGTTCTCTGCCGGACCCTGAATTATTAATGTTCCATTCGCGATTCCTGCCTGTGATGGAGAGTGACTGCCAGAACGTGTTGTTTATATAGGTATCCGGTAAATAGTACGACAACAAAATAGGGACGATGGGCGAAGGGCAGATCTGCAACATACCAAAAAATGACCCTAGTAAAAGTTTCACTGTTTTTGAGGTATTAATTTTTTTGAAATAACAGAATATCTGTTTGTTTTTTTTTGCAAAATATTCTCAGATTGTTGGTCTGCCATTTGAAATGTCATTTTGGATAAAAATACAAGTAGGTAAACTTGACAAACCAATTTCTTCTTTGTAATTTTTATTTTAGAAACTTTTACTAGGGTCATGTTTGGTATGTTGTAGATCTGCCTTTCGTCTTCCCCATTTTTTGTCGTACTATTTACCAGGTGTTTGAAAACAATCAGTTCAAAGCGTGTATATCTGTAATTTTTGAGGTATTGTAAAATCGTCTTATTGGGACGTATTACTATGATTATTAATATTGGTAATAATATAAAACTGTGATTTTCTGTGAAAAGACCATTTCTAGTTTTTAACTTAATTTATTGGATGATATTACGAGTAGCACTGGATGAGAATGAGATGTTATGCCATTTCATATTTTAACACTTTGGCTGTATGCATTGCAATAATTCTTAAATAGCGAAAAAAACAAAATTAACATGAGCATTTGTTCACAAAGTAGTGAACACGTAAAGTAAATTGCAAAGACCAGCCCGTTTATTATTTCTGGCAGTTGTGTTGAAAATTTGCATCGAATGCTCTACTGGTATCTTTTTTATCATTTAAAGTCTAATTTAGTACTCTCACACTAATTTAACTAACTTATTACAAATTTATTACTATGTCGACTGGACTATGCTATTTCGCGCTGCTGACTCATCAGCCGCTGCCGGTCGACTCTGACTACCTGTCACTGCCCTCTGTGCGTGTATTTAGCTGCAAATCGAAGAGTCAGAAGCGTTCTAGACAGAACTCGAGTGCTGTTTCAAAGCTGATAGATGGCGGTCGCGTAACTCTGGTTGCGTAAGCGTCGATGTTACGAGGCTGTCTCATTGTTACTCATAGTCCAGTCAAGAAGGCGTTACAGTACATATCTGCGCATTATTGTTCTAGGCAGAACTCGAGTGCTGTTTCAAAGCTGATAGATGGCGGTCGCGTAATTCTGGTTGCGTAAGCGTCGATGTTACGAGGGTGTCTCATTGTTACTCATAGTCCAGTCAAGAAGGCGTTACAGTACATTATCTGCGCATTATTGTTCTAGACAGAACTCGAGTGCTGTTTCAAAGCTGATAGATGGCGGTCGCGTAATTCTGGTTGCGTAAGCGTCGATGTTACGAGGGTGTCTCATTGTTACTCATAGTCCAGTCAAGAAGGCGTTACAGTACATTATCTGCGCATTATTGTTCTAGACAGAACTCGAGTGCTGTTTCAAAGCTGATAGATGGCGGTCGCGTAATTCTGGTTGCGTAAGCGTCGATGTTACGAGGGTGTCTCATTGTTACTCATAGTCCAGTCAAGAAGGCGTTACAGTACATTATCTGCGCATTATTGTTCTAGACAGAATTCGAGTGCTGTTTCAAAGCTGATAGATGGCGGTCGCGTAACTCGGGTTGCGTAAGCGTCGATGTTACGAGGGTGTCTCATTGTTATTCATAGTCCAGTCAAGAAGGCGTTACAGTACATTATCTGCGCATTATTGTTCTAGACAGAATTCGAGTGCTGTTTCAAAGCTGATAGATGGCGGTCGCGTAATTCTGGTTGCGTAAGCGTCGATGTTACGAGGGTGTCTCATTGTTACTCATAGTCCAGTCAAGAAGGCGTTACAGTACATATCTGCGCATTATTGTTCTAGACAGAACTCGAGTGCTGTTTCAAAGCTGATAGATGGCGGTCGCGTAATTCTGGTTGCGTAAGCGTCGATGTTACGAGGCTGTCTCATTGTTACTCATAGTCCAGTCAAGAAGGCGTTACAGTACATTATCTGCGCATTATTGTTTCTTTACTCATATGGTGAGGCTCATTGGTACTCATGATATCATGAAAGCTGTCAATCAGCTGTAGCAAACTTTCAACTTTGCAGATGGGTGGCTGACTTCCTCTATAGCCGCAAGATACAGTAGCGGACAAAAGTTTGGAAACATTTTAAGTAATTTTTAAAAAGTGCGCTAATTTTTTATTCTTTATTATTAAGGAATATTTTTTTTCTCATATAGTTTGAGGATACAAATGACAATATGTATTTGCTGTGGTACTACAGACTAGCATTAAAATACCTTCATATTATTTTATGAGCGAAAATGAGACGACAAAAGTATAGAAACATATTTTTTATTACAAAATTAAATACAATAACTCTACAAAGATATTTGAAAAATACTGTTTCACATTCAATACTGCCTGACATCCTCATAGAAGACCAATTTTTTTACAGACGTCTGTTGGGATATTTTGCCAGATATTTTATGCATAATCAAATAAATCGTTCATATTTTTAAAAGTTCTTCTTGTCAGTTGTCTTCTAACATGCTCTCAGAGATGTTCTATAGGGTTTAGGACCGGGGATTGCGAAGGCCATGTAGGAACATGAACATTTTGTAGTCTTAACCAGTCCTTTACGAATTTTGAGGTAGGCTTGGGGTCATTATCTTGCTGGAATGTCCATCGTAAAGGCATTTCTTCTTCAGCAACAGGGAGCAAGAATATCTTTGTAAAGTTTTTGATCCATTTTCCCAACAATTATAATAATTGGACCCTTTCCAGAACTAGAAAAACAGCCCCAAACCGTGATGTTGCCTCCAGTTTCTGTGAATCAATTTGCTTTAAAATTTCAACAAACGGTGCGATCAGAATTTTAATCATAAAATTGTTCCATCAAGCAAAGAGTTTTCGGGATATTGCTAAACAAATAAACGTCTCAAAGTCTAGGGTGGCAGATATTGTAAAAAAGTATGGTGACACAGATTCAACTCAAGTTTCAAGACACGGTGTTGGTAGGCCACGTAAGATCAGTCATAAAATGCAAAGATCTCTTGTTCGGGTGGTCGATGGGAAAATATAATGAAGAAACAGCAGGAAATGTTTCACGAGAAACGTGCCGTCGGTGGATTCATAAGTCTGGTTTAAATTTTTTGAGGTACGTCGGTTGCTTTTAAGGGACATAACTGGCATATTTATTTAGTAAAATGTGATGCTTGGGGAGCCAAAGTGTTAAAATCAATTTAATTGAACTATGTATTCTGTATCAATGTACCTGTGAGTGTATCGTTCTTAGTATTGCTGTATCGCTGTTAACTTGTAAATACTGTGACTGGTTCAAAGCGAAAAATGTTTCAATGAGTGCAAAGGGTACTTAATGTTTTGCTGGTTCCAATAAGGGCTTTTTCCAAATATACTTTATATAGAAGTGAATTCGATTCCCATTTAGCATGTATTGTCAAGAAATATACTACTTGAGTGACGTAGACAAAAACAACAAACAGTAATAATAAACTTATTACGACAATTTTTGAATTAGTTAGGTGAGTAATTTCAGTTCGGTTCAAATCGACTTGATATCATAATTGCAAAAATTGAGAATCTGGTCTTTCACTTGTCGCCTGTTCACACTTGCAGTCCCGTAGAACCAAAAACCTAAGGCGGCTATTTTGGTGTTGGTGCAGTTCTTCTGATACACCTTGTACATCTAACCCTTCGTGTGCGGCCTTCCTGATCTTAAGCCCGACAACAAACCACCATCGTATTTAGACTTCTAGCTTCTAGCCCCATACAAGCCCACTATTCGCCCCCTGCTAAGATGTTCAACATTATTTCGTCCTCTCACCTTAGGCATAATGAATAGATTGAAGCAGCTCGTCACAACCTATCTATCAATGACCAAATGCCACTTGTACACTAAACACAACTATGGCTTACTTACTTTTTCAAACAAGACGAGAAGAGATATAGGCAGCAGCGGTGGCCGCAGTAGTAGACTCTTCGGTCTCCTGATCAGTCGCCGTGCGCTGTGCGGGTTCGAATCCCGTCCCAGGTGAAATTTTTCTCTTGGCTGTGGATGTTGTGATTGTCCGTACGTGGTAGACGGTTTCTGACTGTCGAACGCGGAGGTACCACCCGGCGGATCTCGCAGGTGGGGCCTGAATGTGTGCATGTTGCATGCACACGTGTTCCCTTGCCGGAATCCGTGTGGCGTTCCCCCTTTCCCCTGTATCCCCCTATAGCCCCACGGTGCCCAATGGATGTTTAGGCCTTCGTGGTAGTTGGAGTATAAAAAAAGACGATATCACGGATACCACGAGGACGATATTTTTGAAAACATATACCTAGAAAATCTTTGTACTGAACTGAATTTTCAACCATGTATATCGGAAAGGAAACGACTTACAAATACATGGATATTAAGGTGAAACGAATTTACTTCTATGTGTTCGCCATTTTCTGTGTAGAATAGTCCAAACATATTTTTATTCTTGTTGATCTCTCAACAATGGTACGTTTGTTTCGATTCATGCTTTAACACTGACTGCTAAGGATTACATTCCTCGAATTTTCTAATTAGTTTTATTCCTACACTATTTATTTACCCTTAGGGTTCATGGATCCACTGTTTTTTCGGAATAAATTGATAAATGATTTCCCTCAATTGAGTGGTTTTTTTGTTATTAAACATGTAAAGTTTTGTTTTTATTTAGCATTCCGATTTCCATGAATGATAAGCAACTAATTCGACTGAACATTTACTTTGTATATTTTGTAAATAAGTTTAGCGTTAATTTACATTTTGTCTCATAGAAAACACAATAGTATGATTTTGTACAATGTTTCTTGAAATTAGTTTATAAAAAATATGTATACACTTCAGTTTTAATTTTTTCATACCTTATATGGAACTATATTTGGTTTGTGCAATTGTATGCAAGTTGTCATCTGCTAAAAAATCTAGAAAGTTGTCCCTTTATCAACTTTGTTGCGCTCATCACAGTGCTGTTTATCAAATTTATTAATTTATTATTCTTACCCTGAAAAAGGTTGGCTGCATATGACGATTTCGAAAAAGTTTTAATATTAAATTGGTACTTTGTACATCATCTACCGTTTCAAATATGAGTAAGCACTCCATTCTTATCATGCCATCCTACTATAATTCTTTATCTACATTTTGGACTATTGTCCTTTCTATGAGACCATCCGGTTTGTTTGCAGAACTCAATATTATTTACATAATCAATTCTTCCTAATTGAAATAATAGCGGGTGATTGGAAATATATAGACAGTCACCAAAATGTACTACTGTTATAAAGTGCAATTTTTCTTTTGAAATTGTGTAACCATGTTAAATTTTGGAACTATTAATGGAAATAAACTGTTTTCGTTCCGTTTTCGTTTTTGTTTTATTTTGATAAAGTTCGACCACTCTAACACAAGCCTTCGCCCACAAATCGTCACAAACTCGAAACATTATTTTTTGTTAGCATCCCCAAATGCATCAAAATCGATCCAATGATTTCTGAGACTACTCGTAGACAAAACAGCTACCGATAGACCATTTTTACTGTACATATATATGTATCGAAAAAATTCAGGAGACATATGTTTTTTGTATAGAAAATTTACCACGGTTACCCTTTGGATTATAATTTGTCTTCGATGAAAATAGAGGAATGTGTACAAAAACCAATCGAGAAGTTTTAGTTTTTGCACGAATATGAAAATTGTTGAAAAGTAAAATATATGTATTTTCGTTATCCTAATTTTGTATCTCCATATGGTTGTGGTAATGCTAAGAAAAACATGTAATATATGTATCTCAATTTCATATTTCATCTTCGGATGGAGAGTTACATTTCACCGATTTTTTGAAGGAAATTCAGTATACGTTTAAGTGATATAACTCTCACAACAATGAAGCCTTTTAAAAACGTATACGCATTGAAATAGTGCTTAACTGATTTCGATCTATTGAAATATATTTGACACACTTAGTGGCGCAAAAAATAGTATATCACCTTTCATATCCTTCAAAGAAGTACGCTGAATATATCATCTATTTGTTGATGCATTAATAAACCCAATGAAAAGTGTTCTATAGGTCAATAAGTTATCTAGCTTCCTGTGGTTTGATTGGTTGATGTCATTCGTGACACCAAATCATTAAATATTACATTTGTGTGTTGGTTCCAAGACCGTCTATAGTTACTGATATTGAAGAATAATAGTACCGTAAGGGTCCCCATACACGTAACGTTCACTCTGAACAGGAGTCAAGCCTATAAGTTATCACCGCTTATTTTGGCGAACAAAAGCCCGAACTTTGCGGACACCCTGTATATTAACACTTCGATCGACTATTCAGTTTGAAGGGCCTTTTGCATCCCACAGAAACCCTCACCATTTTCGACAATTGTCTAAACATTTTAGTCTTGGAGATTTGCAGTTTTCTAGACATTTGTCTAGTGCCTGTTGGGGTTGTCTAGGTCTCCTACTGTGCCCACCTTGATATTCATGCAAACGACCTGTATCTCAATCACTTTGCACAAGGTAAACAAATCTAGGCGGCCCGGATGATGGGAAAGCGATCTGCATACACTCGCGAACCCTCGATAGCATTTTGAAGACACGCCATACGAGGGGGTACCCAAAAAAAAACCGAATTATTTTTAAATGCTATTCATTTTCAACTTTTTCACAAAGTAATCTTATCTCCTTCAAAATACTGTCCACTACAACTAATACACTTGTTCCACCGGTGCTTCCACTGCTCGACACATTTTTTGAAGTCTTCCTTAGAAAAGCTCCAGCAAAAATAATGATTACAGAGGAACGAAGCAAGCCAGATCGACAACTCAGGTCGCACCGAACTGGTAATGAGTGGCGCTGTACGCCTCTAGGGGCAGAAATGTGTACTACACAAGCTCCGTCCACTGCAGTGTTATTCCGGTTATTTTTGGGTACCTCCTCGTAAAACCATGTCTACAAGTTCGATATTGTTCGATTGTACCATTTTGTTTAGATACGCTTCCTGTGCCTGGATTGAGTACTGACATGCGTCGTACCTTGTCACGTTTGATATGAATGGAGATACAGCAGCGGAATATCTTGGTTATCTTGAAACTTTGGTATACAGGGTTTTAGTAAAGTATGTAGACAAACTTTAATCATCGAATCCCTGGTCAATTTGAAGACTAAATGTTCATATGAACATGGGACTATCACTAAAGAAATACGAGTAATGTTCCAAATATTCTATGTTTAATGGAACGTATTAATTGAGCAATTGATACATTTTGCATGTTTTACAAGTTGCTGAGGCTCAATGTGAACGTTACCCAGAGCCATTCCGTAAACGAAATGCATATCTGTCATTTCTTTATTACTGAACTGGACCATTATGACAGTAATCACTAAAAATATTTGGAGTCTTAGAATGACCAGACAAGAAAACAAATATTTGAAAGCTGTCGAATTATTTGAGAAAATAAATTAATTCAATTGTTTTCAAAATGTTAAAAGTATTGCGATCAAAACAAATCAATGTCATGCTATTTTTTCCCATAATCTGACTAAAAAGGATTCCCTTTCAACGAATCTGCATGTTGCCAAGCCTTGTAAAGTCTGTCTACAGATAAAAGCAACGGATCATAAGTGTGTATGGGCCCTTATGCCATATATTTCCAATTCTTTCAAACATCTAAATGTTTATTGTGACATGTAACGTATAAGAAACAAATCTTACGTCTGACCTGTAGGTATCCATTTTCTGTTTTGCTTGGTATTGTTAATTTTAATATATATTTTATATAATTTATGTAATTGTCATTAAGCTATATTGATTTAAAATTTTGTTCTGTTGTGCAATTTACTCAAAATTTCGTGATTGGTATTCTATAAACGAACCTGTGGTTTGTTTAGTCGTCATATGATATGGAATTATTTCAAATTGTACATACTATGAAATTAAACGAATATTACAAAGCATGTCTTTAATTTCCAAATATTTTTCCAGTTTTTACTCACGTGGTTCAGATTCTTGGTGAAACACTTCAATAAGTAACAGATTATCAAAATGTATGAAAGCTTGTTTCCCAGAAACTGAGAACTATGAAAAAATTATCAGTAATGCTGATTTCTTCACTTTGTTTTTTCCATGGATAAAGCTGCTCAAAATAGGGGATTGAAAGGATTTTGTACAACCGCTGCGTTTCGAAAATACGTTGTGGAAAAAAATTCCAAACCCCCAACTTTCCGACTCTGGGTAAAATCATTATCAAGTTAAATGGATAGGTACCATTTTTACAAAAACTGTTCAAAATTGTCCCCATTTGTTCGCAGCTTCGACAATAAAATCCGGTGCGCTGTTGAAGTTCTTCCAGAGTATTTGCTGCTCCATCATGATACACTTACTCTCAAATGGCTCCAGAGAAAAAAAGCGGAAATCTATTATTCGAAAACTCATTATTTAGATGTTCATGAACTTCTCGTCTAAAATGTGGTGGAGCCCCATCATGAAGGAACCACATATTCTGTCTCACATTAAGAGGAACGTCTAATAATTGTGGCAGATTGTGTCTAAGAAAATCTAAATACGCCCATCATCAAAAGTGTTGGACCCCCTGGCGTACTGGGAAACTATAGCCTTCTGATTTCAATCTTTGATATATTTTAAATTGGGGATATTTTTACTATATTTATTTAACAAAAGGTTGATTTAATTTCATTAATATGAAAAGAAAAAGAAAGTTGAACAACAAACCAGAAATTTTATTTTTAAAAATAAAAATTAAAGAAAAATAAAACATAATTAATAACCAGTTCGATGTCCTCTAGATCTTAGCAGTGCGTTAACACGCCTTGGTATTCCTATTATTCGGTGGTTAATGTTTTCTTGGGGTAAATTATTCCACTCTTCATTTACTGGTGCAGCCAGCTGATTTAAGGGTTGCAGGTGGATCTATCCTCTTCCGTACGGCTCGAGCTATAGTGTCCCAAATGTTTTCAATGGGGTTCAGGTCTGGGCTGTTCGCAGGCCACGGCAATCTCACTATTTGGCCCCTTTCTAGAGCCCGCTGGACCCTTCTCGCTCTATGTGGCCTTGCATTATTATCCATAAAAATGAAGTTGTTACCGAATTCATTTCGAAAAGGTTGAATAATGGGTTGTATGACATTTTCTTCATAAATTTCTGCAGTTATTGTCCCCTGGATCTGAATTAAAGGACTCCGGTGGTTAAACATTATGCCTCCCCAAAACATTATTGATCCGTCCTGATATGGGACAACTTCTCGGGCCAAATTTAGTCGCTGTTGATGTCCTTTTTCTCTCCAAACCCTTATTCTACGGTCATCACTCACCAGTCCAAACCTGACCTCATCTGTAAATACCACATTTCGCCACTGTGGTAAAAGCCATTCCTGACGTTCTCTAGCCCACTGGAGACGAGCAGCAATTTGTCTACGAGTAAGACGTGGAACCCTTAAAGGTCTTCTAGGGCGCAAATTTGCCATTCGCAATATTCTTCTGATGGTAGAACTGGAAAGAACTCTTCGAAAGGTTTGTTGAATATGCGATCTGATAGCTGAAAATCTATTCCTTCGGGCAAATAGAGCAATGTAACGATTTTCCCTATCATCTGTTACTCGATATTTTACAGGACAGTGTGTAATAACATTCTTATGTTTTAAAATTTTTAATCTTTCACTGCATTTTTTATATAGCTGGACATACAAAGTCAATTTGTCCAGAAGTGCGTGGGAAGTACAGAATTAATCTACTCGACGCCACTTTTTCTTATTTGTTTGAATTTCATTTCGGATAACTCTAGATCCTTGACTGCTACGTTGAAATAAATGGCGTCAAGTAGGTTGACTACGCAACGTTGTTAAATCCTCTGAGAAAAAAGTCAATTACGAGCATGTAGGGGAAAACTGGGTCACTTGACCCGTGTCTCACTAAAGAGCACAGCTTCATGTGGAATGACTGTATAGCCATGATGAAAATTGGATACTAAAGCGTAGTCCATGAGCTATACTTTTACAGAGTTTAAGGGTAGTCACAGTTTTATTGGACGTAACATTTAGCTAATATCTCCTGAGTGGACTGCGAGATATTACCCCAGGGGTAGGGAGATTTTATTCTTAGTTATGTTGAGTGATAGCTAATAAAATATCGTTAATACCGTTTATTAAAAATACAAGTATGCTAGATAAACAAAAACAACAAAAATACAATAATACAAGTTGGCAAACTTTATAGGCCTTTTCGTAATAGACTTTCTTTTGTAAACATCGCCCAGTGCATTCCTAAGTGTGACTACATTAATTTTCAAAATGAGTAATATTTTCATATACTTGCTATAAAAAAATGTGTGCACCTCGTACAATAAAGGCCCAACGATGACATTCTTTCAAAGTCTAATTTCGATCTACTTTGAAAATCACTTTTGTTTCAGTAATAGTTGTATCAGTTTTGGTACCGACGGACGAAGTATACTGGTTCAGTCATTTTTAAAATACAATAATTCGGATCAGCGATCCATAAAAAAATGATA